AATTATATCAAACACACAGTTTTCGTATTGGGGCAGCTACAGCTGCTGCAAATTCAGGTGCCACCGACATCCAAATTCAAAACATGGGAAGATGGAAGTCTACAGCTTTCAAGAAAAATATTCGGGTTCCAATTTTAACATTATAGATATCACACCAAAGATACAAGCACCTGGCAATTATTGTATAACAAGTCATTCACTCTCTAGGCCATGAAACAGGGGTTTCTGGTCTTCCCGTTTCTTCAACATTTTTGAGTATCAGACATGTATGTGTTATCATGAACATTTGTGAGCGAACAGGTAACTTTGTGGTACTGTTAAACCTTGGAGTCAGGGGCTCCTGGTTTATACAAAGTTTTGCTACGTCATTTGATGTTTTGTAGATATGTTTTAAAATTCATTGGCAATAATACTGTTAGCTAATTATTCAAAGTTTTAGGATTGGTATATTTTCTTGAATGAACAGTACCATAGAACCATGGAGTCAGGGGCTCCTGGTTCAAACATGATGTGGTTACATTGTTTTGATCATTCTGTTGCTTATGCATATTTTACGTATGTTTTTCAATTGATGAAAGGGTGATGGATGGGGAATATCAACACCGCTTCGGTCTTGATATGTGGCGGGAATTGCCCCATCTTTGACACGTTAAAGAACTTAACATTAAAGAGTTTTGGACAATATAATGTCAAACCATCTTTAGTCATCATTATTGTACTAGTCCTTATGTTTTTGATTGTCAAGTCATTGAACACAACTCTGTATATAACTGTTATTGTATGATTTGAGTTATATTGTTGTTTAGCTACATTGTTCTTTCTGTCATTTATTTCCTCAATAAATGACCATTCTAATTCCTACTGAATGTGTTGTGTTAATGCTTGGGTTTTGTTAAGGTAATATGAAGCCACATAACGTGCCAAACAGAGCATCACCCTATCAGTTATCCATAAATAATTCTACACTGGAACTACAAACTTCCAGTATTCCTAACATACAAAAAAACTCATGGTTAGTTGTAGCACTTTTCATTTGATAAGACTGGATAAATACTCTGTAGAACAGATTCCTAAATGCCAGTTCAATCTAATGCAGCTGCTATCGTTTAGATCACATTATATAAATAGTGCACATTTTTGAGGGTAACAGCTGACGTTTCGGTTGACAATGGTTTTCCTTGGGGTGTCAATTTCAACTGTTACCCTCAAAAAACGTGCACTATTTATTTTATTATACTGAATGTCTTATTGATTTCTGATGTCATAAAAAAAATCTGAGATCATCTATAAATTCTAATACTGCAAGGGCATAACCAAGTTAAAATTCTAAGTTTAACATATAATTATTTTCAACACTCTTTGTAGTTTGTGAAAAGTGCTGCGAACCTATATAGATTTTACTATCTAATTGCTAAAATTACATTTGTTAGACCGTATGTTGAATATTTTGCTGGTCAAGTACATTAAATAAAGCTATAATTAATTCATTTGCAAGATTTCAACAGGTTCGCAGCACTTTTCAAATATCTTCGTACTTCTTCAGTTTATATGTAAAAGCTTGTCATAATTCACTGAGGGTATGCCCTTGCAATATATCGATTTATTACGACCCTTCCATTACCCTTCAATGAATCTGCATAAAAATATACGACAGTATCGTTTGTCTAGGGAATGTACGGGAAGTATATGAATAAAATCATAAAACAGACATCGCATCCAAGTTAATGGCCTGTTATATATCTACAATTTGTACAATAAACTTTTAATATACGATGTCTCTTTTGATTCATTACTACCTTACGTAAATCAACAGTTAGGTCTACATCATATTCGCACCAAACTTTACTCTGTCCCTTTGAAATTTTTAAATAGTCTTCTTGAAAAGGTCAAGGAAAGTCCATTTTTTGATTCCTCGACACCAGAATATAGGCTCGGATCTGTGATTATGGATATTGCAAAAACATAGGCTTTTTAAACCCCCGCGTTTTACTGAAGAAAATGCAGCTAAAACAATCTGTTTTTTCCCTAAACTTTAATATGCCAACAAAGGAATTGACGCGGTTAATATAAGTAATATTCTTAATCACAAAAGGGTCCAGTCTTGTATTCCACCATATTTCAAGTTAAAGACTACACCTTGTATTTCCCACAAATATACATCGACTATTGCTCTCAAACTTTTTAATTACAAGAAAACTTTACAGGGCCTGGATATCGAATACCTGAAACATAATCCTCCATCGTGTTCATGTTCTTCTTCGCCCTATAACTATAGTCCTGCTGGACACGTTATTACTGGTGACGTTAATATAGTTAATAATGAGGACCTTAGATCACTAATTTTAAAAGGTCCTAAATTTAGGGAACAGCGATCCTTCAACTGGCGTCGGAATTTCATAAATATTATGGATTCTGTAGAGGACTCAGCTAGGCGATGGGCCAGACATGAAAAAGAAGACCTTGACACTTTGTCAGAATGGATTAAATGTATCAGATGTATGTTAAAATCACGCATTAAAAGATTGAGAGGCAATATGAGAACCATCTATCCTTCTGTATTCAATAATCCAGAAGTGAAAAAAGAATTAGATAGATTACATGATCAGTACGTACTGGTCCCTGCTGACAAAGCAGGTAACAACATTGTCTTTGTTTGTAAGGCTCATTATATTAAATGTATTTTAGAGGAACTTGGATTTAATTCTACAAGTGGTTATCCAACTTATACTCGTAGTTCCCTTTCTAAGGAAGAAATTCTTCAAAATCATATGTCAGTTTTGAAAATTTTTAATATTCCAAACAACCAAAATGAATTTGAATTACCATATTTATATTGGATTCCGAAACTTCATAAAAATCCTTACAAACAAAGATACATAGCGGGTTCCAGTAAATGTTCAACCAAGCCTCTTTCTTTACTCCTCACTAAGATATTAACAGTGGTGAAGGAGAAACTTCAAGAGTACTGTGCAACAATATATTCGAGAAGTGGTGTAAATCAGATGTTGATACTTAAAAATTCCAAGGAACTTTTGGAAAATTTGAAATCGCAAGATTTTACCAAAATCAACAGCTTAAAAACTTATGACTTTTCTACTTTATACACAAACATTCCCCACGATAAATTAAAGTCCAGGCTTTTTGATATAATTGACAGCTGCTTTTTCAATAAAAATGGAACTCGTAAATATACTTACCTTGTCATTGGTCATTTGCAAAATTATTTTGTTAAAAAACATTCTGATTGTACACACAAGTACTCTGAAGTTGACATTAAAAAGATGCTTGAGTTTCTGATTGACAATATCTATGTGGTTTTTGGAGACCAGGTCTTCCAACAATCTATTGGAATTCCCATGGGTACCAATTGCGCCCCGTTATTAGCAGACCTTTTTTGTATTCATATGAAGCAGTCCAAAATCTTGTACGTGAAAAGAAGAAAACACTTGCTGTAGCCTTCAACTTGACATTTAGATATATCGACGATGTATTGTCAAATAACAATGGCTATTTTCATTGTTATGTCGATACGATATATCCTGGTGAGCTTGAGATAAAAGATACCACAAAGTCTGACACATCTGTTTCATATTTGGATATTTTACTTGAAAAAGACGTTAATGGTAATCTAACAACCAAACTTTATGATAAACGTGATGACTTTAACTTTTCAATCGTCAACTTCCCTTACTTATGCAGCAATATACCTTCATCACCTGCATACGGGGTATATATCTCTCAGTTGATTCGATACGCAAGAGCATGCTCTACGTATGAACAATTTCTTAAACGAGGTAAATTATTGACAAACAAGTTGATGAAACAAGAATATCAGTAGTCTCGTTTAAAGTCATCATTTCGTAAGTTCTATGGTCGATACAATGACCTTGTCAGCAAATACAATTTATCATTGAGTCAAATGCTGACTGATGTTTTTCATACTAATTGTTAGGCCATTATTTACACACTGAATTGTCGACGGATTTTTCCGTTATTTCCCGATCATGACAATGAGCACACGGCGGGTGTGACCGGTCGGCAGGAGATGCTTACTCCTCCATGGCACCTGATCCCACCTCTGATGTTTAGAGGTCCATGTTTGCTCTGCTCCTATTTTGTATTGTTTAATGGACTTTTGAGCTTGAATACTGTTCGTTATCTCCATATATTTCATATTTTATTTAATCACAAAATATACTTTTCATTGTATAAATATAACTTGATCCGCCTCTCACTGCATACAAACTGCGTCAAATTTTACAATATGACGTCACATTGACAAGTGCATTGCGATCAGTGAATTGTTTATATATTGCTGTGTGGAATTTAACCAGCAACAATAATGCATACACTAGTTAGTATTGATGTAGTTTAAAGCTATTCAACAGTTTGAAATAGCAAATCATTTCATTTTGTGGTAATTTGAAGAACTTATATTTTTGTGTGATGTCATAGTAAGCATTTCCCGTATAAATTAGGCCCCGCCTTCTTACTGCAGCCTTAACTGTGCTGCGCATCTAAAGTTTGCACTCGCAAGGATGTTACGTCTGTCGTTTGTTGTTTTCAAGTAAGCTACATCGGACGCAAGTTTTTTTTTATTGACGTCGTTTATTCGGCTTCTTTCAAACGCACAACCGACGTTTTGAGAATTCTACGGTGAACCGTACGCGCATGATTTGAACGCATGTGATATTTTCGTGATGTTACCCGTTGTCAAGTGTGTTGCTAACGCTGAGGGTAACATTGCGGATTGTTAAATGCGTCTAAACCAATCAGATTTCAATATTTGTCATGAAAGTTTAATAAAAAAATACCTGTAGCTACAATGATGAACACTTCTTACCAAAAAATCACATCGCTCTAACATTAAGAACCAAAATTAGATGTCAAACAAATATCTACTTGTACATGTTTGTTACAAGTTAAATATTGTACAGGAAATGGACATCACAGTATATTCTGAAGTTAAAAATTTTAACAGTAAGTAGACAATTAAGATTTATTTCCCTTGCTTCCTCACTCCAAGGATAAATCACCCGTACATCCTCTGCTGTCTTTGACTGGAATTCTGGGACATTCCTACTCCATTAGTAAGTTGCATTGTGGTCAATTGACTTAAGTTTGTGAATGAGGTAATTGTCACTGTCACCCCATTGGTAATTGGATAAAACTAGATCCCAAACATGGTCAAACTGGGGCCTCCGGATCCACCAAATATTTACCTTTGATAAAAATAAAATACTTAGAAATAGTGCATGAATTAATGGTTTCATTTTAAAACAAATTAGAGGTTAGACTTCTAAGCAAGTACATGTATATTTATTGCAGAAAATCTTCCGTAAATGCAATAAATCAATATAATATACTTTTCTACCAGTTAACAAGCAATTTTTGTACTTCATGAAAAAAATAACTGTCCTAAACAGTATTCCATATCAAAACATCTATGGGTAAATACGGATAACTTACCTGCACCAAACCTCTTTTTCAGTAGGGATATCCTGTACTGGCCCTACCATCTCCATCTCCAGGCCAGACAGACACGCCCCCTCACACAGGAACTGGATGGCTGAGGGTGAGGGCCGGGAGGGGCCTGACTTCAACTCAAACTTGGCTCTGATGCTGCATTGACTTCCTTCCTCACTAAGTTCTGATAAATCGTTAAGCCTCCATGTCGCCCGCTGGTTGTCTTCTTTCCTAGAAAAATACATTAATACTTGAAATACATAAGGGCTATTCCATTTAAAATCTACCTGACCCCTGGACATAAAAAATTCTCTTTTATCAATGGGTATGCTTATGAATAAATTGATTTTATGGTTGGTTGTTAAATTGGGATAATTTACATCTCTCCATTGCACTCCTTTCATGAATATCTTCTAACCATACATGTTTGGGTTAATAAACATGGTTATAAGTTAAACAGAGGCAAGTTTCATGCCTTTCATGGAAACTTTGGAATTCTGAGCAAATTCCAACAAAAAAATAAAGAGAATGTGGAATCTCGAGCAAGATTTATTTTTTCAGTTACTTCAGATCATGTTTTAAGAAGCCTTGATGCTGAGGGAGGAGGAGGAGGGTCATTCAAGATATCCTGAGACTAAAGAAAGAACCTACTCACCAGTTACCAGCGTAGGGATATCCTAAGACAGATGAGATAACCTACTAATTAGTCACCAGGGGGTATACTCTGAGACAGAAGAGAGAACCTACTCAAAAAGCCAGTGGGTGCATTCAAGATTGTAGTGACTATGAAGATAAAAAACCTACTTACCAGTCACCAGGGGGAATACTCTGCATGTTGCTGACACCTCCACTTACAGCTGCCATTACTTGAACATTTTTGAGAGTTGACGGTGATGACATGGGGTTGTATTTGTAGTCCAGGTAGTAGTCAGTGGTATTCTCTTTACATTTCCAGTACGCCACCACTGTCAGTGGAGTACTTTCTACTCCAGGCTGGGGCAACAACTGTCAATCCAGTCTTTATAATACCATTCAAAATCCAGTACAAGTTTAAAGTAAATTTTCATAATTGATAAGTACATATATATGCATTTGTTTACTTTTGACTTGATATTCTTTTTAGAAAATTGACTTTTCAGCCACTGGTGTGGAATAAGAATATATATAACAATTTTCATTTATAGAATCTTATTGCCTTATACGGGAACCAGACAGAAATGAATAAGAAAACAATACTCTGGCAAATATTTTTTGGTTATTTCTGGTAAAATTTTCCCCATGAAATCTTTTAAAGATCAGAAATAAAATTTGATCTCCTACGACAATTTTACACATGCACATGTGAATGTAAAGGAGCAGTCAGATGTAATTCTAGTGAATTTTAGGATAAAAAAAATCATGTGGTACTGCATGTCAAGTTTCAATGGACATTACACTGTAAAAGTATGTTGAATAGAAGTGACATATAAGTACCTGATATTTGAGAATGTCGATGTTAAAGTAGGAGGCTGTCTTGTTCTGTTCTCCTTGATATTTTAGATGGTCAATCAAAGCAGACATGTTGAAGATGTAGAAATTTGATTCAGGTTCCTGTTGACTCATATCCCTAGGAGAACAAAGACATCTTTATCAGTGATTATACAAATAAATTCATAACAATGATTTAATTCTGGTTCTAATAGGCTATTTCATTGGATAAAAAATTTACTTTTTATTGCATTAACTATGTTGCGTATGTCACGACTTGAGTCGAAAAATGTATTGATCTGTCTGATGTTACATTTATATTTTGTACAATTTGAAGTCATTTCTTAAATCATCTTATTTTCTTACATTAAATGAATGAAAATTAAATTATAAGGAATGAATTTAAAAGCTACCCAATTTTTACAGTATAAAACTGGGTTGGAACCGTTTGTGCTTTTGTATGAACTGCTTCACAGTTTATAAAGCATGGACTGAACTATCCCAATGCATGCCATATAAACTTGATAGCCTTTTAAATTCATTCCTTAAATAACTAGGTAACTCATACAAGTAGACATCACAAAAGCTAGAAGATTTGACTTTAAGATGTATACTTATATTTCCACCAGTTGTTTACTGAGCATAGTGTTCTCTAACTTGGAGATGTTTTTGAGTTTGAAGCTCAGTAATGCAGGATTAGGATTCTCTGTAAAAACTCGAACAACTCCAGCAAGAAATGACATCATCATATTTCCTGTAATCTTAACCATGCATCTAAAAATAGAAAATAACAATAGATCTCAAGATATTTTAAATCTTCAACATCAAGGATGAAACTCACAAATCGGTAAAGTCTTAAAACAAATATCACAATGTAAACGCATTTAAAGAAACTGATTGCTTGATTAAATGAACTTTATTAATCTGAATACTGTAAATCACTTTTTATTTGCAAGAACTTTATTTTTGGTCATTACTCATGGCCATCTTCTCAGGAAAAATTTATTAACCAAATATTTGTATTATTACAAATTTATAGCATTAACCAAAATTCAAAAAAGGGGTAAAATAGGGGATAAAACTGGGAAACAAAGCCTCATTTCTCATTTCCTAATCAAGTAAGCATCACGACAGGTAAATTTAAAACAGTTTACATCTGCTCCTTAAGTTTGAATCTGACCTTGTAGCATCAGTTCTTTTGAAATAGGCGTTGTTTGTTTCTGTGAAAGCGATGGCTAATGGAATGGTGTCTGACATGCCAATGGTAAGAGGACTTGATCCTCGGGGGGATCCAACAGGCATGGATGTCGTGTTGAAGGTCACACTGCTACTACTGTCTGATCGAGACGTGAAGGAGGCTGGACTGGAGCGACCAGAGATTGGACGCGAGGGAAGCTACAGAAAAAAGGTCAGACATTAGTATGTGACCAGAGACCAGGTGCGAAGGAAGCTATCAAATAAAAACAAAGTCAAGGACATTAGTATGATGATCAGAGATTGAAAGTGAGTGAAGTTGCAGCAAAAAATCATTCAAGGAAGTTGGTTGTGACAAAAGATACAGCATCAGAATAATACAATTTTTCTGTAAACAACCAGACAAGTTAAGTTCCTGTTTATTTCAATGGGTTCAGATGTGGCACTTTGTGTTTACTGACTGACCTGGGGTACGCTGGACTTGACTCTGGGTTAGGAGACTGGCCGTTGTGGGATAGATTGAGGTGCTCCTGGGAGTGAGTTGTTTAGACTTGAGCCGTCTTTTGAACTGTTACTATTGTTAATTACTTCATTTCCACCTAAAAAATAACATACATGAAGGATCAATCTGAAAAAGATCTAAATTAGGACTTTAAAGTGAAAAATTTGAGGAAAATCTTATCAAGCCTATAATTCAACAGAATGTTAAATTACTAAAATTTTTCAATTTTTCTTTTTATAATATCAAATAAAATGGGAAAGTAATGAATTTTAAAGAGCAGCACTGTTGACTGTCTAGAAATTCTGAGGGGTATTAAAGTTATATTGTGTACCCTTGAGTATGAGAAATTGTTTAGTTCTGTGGTATATAAACCATTGGGTGTATCATTTTTGTGTTAAGTATTAAAAGTTGAATTGATGGATCTATTCAATTTTCTAAAATTCTTGAGTGGTGTTCTAGCAATATTTTAGATGGTGTCCTGTAATCTGTTTGTTGAACTTCTAGAATTGAGTAGTTTTGTAGCAATTCTATGGCTGGGTTTGATTTGTACTGGGTATGTTGACTTACTAGAATTGTGGAGTGATGTTGAAGCAATACTATGGCTGGTGTTGTTTTGTAGACTGGTGTCGCAAGGGGAAATAATGGTGACGGGAGATTGTACCGGCTGCCTGTTGGGGTGGAAGCACTTGTAGAGGAAAAGAAATCCAAGTTTAACAGGTCCTGGTTTGGTTTTACTGGACTAAAATGAAACAGACAAACAAAACTAAACACCTTTTCAAATGCAATTAGTGCTTGAACATTTAAGATAGGAATTTCATCCAAGAGTTTTTGGACACTTATGAGTGTCTGAATATGATCTATGGACATGTACTTACTCAAGATTGTCTGAATCTGTGATCCCTGGACAAGTACTTACTTTAGAGAACATTATTCCCATTTCTTCATTATCTGTTGTTTATACAAGTACTTACTCCTGAGTATCTATACAAGTACTTACTCTGTATTTGATTCTGATTTTTTCATCTATTGTTATATTAAAGGACGGATCGCTGATTTGATTTTCCTTTTTGATTCATCATCTGTAATATCAAAATAAGTACATGTATTGATATTAACAGGTACGATACAAAATTCTTCGTGCTTCAGCTATGTTTTTTTTTTCAATTGTCTTGGTCAATGACAAATTTCTAAAGTTAAAATTTAAAAAAAAAAAAAAAATTTGTTAATATTTAATTTTTATATTGCAAAATTCTTAATTTTTCCTTTTCTTATGTATAGATAACAATACAGGACAAAATAATTACATTTTCTATATCAAAGATTATCTATGTGGTTCCTATAAGCTTATTTTTACAATCAAAACATTCTTTTCTTGCTGCTACATGTACTAGTCAATTTATCGTGTCACAAATTATTATCTACCTCACATATGATATGCATTTTAATTTACCATCTCAACCTTCTGATGTATCTAAGATGAATTTCTATTAATATCATGTTTAACTTAAACGAATTACCTTAGTCACAATAATAATAACCAAGTATTCTCCCGGCTGACTTACCCGAGTCACTGTTTTTACCTGAGTCATAATGACCCGGTATTCTCCTTGCTGACTTACCTGAGTCACCTTTTTACCCGAGTCACTGACTTATCTGAGTCACTGTTTAACGTGAGTCACTGACTTACCTGATTCATAATGACCTAGTTTCCTGGCTGACTTACCTGAGTCACTGTTTTTACCTGAGTCACTGTTTTTACCCGAGTCATTATGACCCAGTACTGTAGATTCCTAAATATACGCGAGGAATTAATTATCGTGTAATTTCGCGAGAAGCACCACTCGTGAAATAAAATTACTCGCTTTTATTTTTATGGTGCTGAAACCAATGTAAAATCTCTTGATCAACTGTTCACTCACCAATTATTGTTCTCGCCATTTGTCGTTTAAGAGCCATTTCGAGATAATAAGTACTCGCGAAAAATAAGGAATCTACAGTATTCTTCTTGCTGAATTTATACATGAGTCACCGTTTTACTTGAGTCACTGACTTACCTGAGTCATAATGACCCAGTATTCTCCTGGCTGACTTATAGAGTCACCGTCACTCTCGCTGGACCAGCCATTTTTATCACAGCTGTTCTCCATGGGTTCTTCAAGTTGAATAGAATAGCCCTCCTTATCCACATCTGGAGTTGTCTGTAAAAACCTTCTTCTATCAATAAGGTTAAATCATCTAAAAAGCACTAATATATGATTGCTGCATAAAAAAAAATAAAAATGTGCCTTATCTTGAATTCAATATCAGTTTCAGAATTTTATTCAATATTCATGTACATTCATACACATGCATTATCTTTACTTATTATACAATAATAAATACATATGGCAAAAGGCAAATAATAAAAGTGAGGAGGACTTACATTGTGTGTCTGAGGACTGTGTGAGGAGGACTTACACTGACGGTGTGTCTGCATGAGAACTGTGTGAGGAGGACTCACACTGTATGTCTGAGGACAGTGTGGGGAGACTTACACTGTGTGTCTGGGGACTGTGTGAGGAGGACTTACACTGACTGAATGTATGAGGACTTTTTGAAGAGAACTTATACTGTGTCTGAGGACTGTGTTTGGAGGATTTACACTCACTGTGTGTCTGAGGACTGTGTGAGGAGAACTTGCATTGTGTGTCTGCGGACTGTGTGAGGAGGACTTACACTGTGTGTCTCCGGACTGTGTGAGGAGGACTTATACTGTGTGTCTGAGGGCTATGTGAGGAGGAATTACACTGACTGTGTGTCTGAGGACCGCGTAAGGAGGACTTACACTGTATCTGGGGACTGTGTGTCTCAGGACTGTGTGGGAAGGATTTACACTGACTGTGTGTCTGAGGACTGTGTGAGGAGGACTTACTCTGTGTGTCTGAGGACTGTGTGAAGAGGACTTATACTGACTGTGTGTCTGAGGATTGTGTGAGGAGGACTTACTCTGACTCTGTGTCTGAGGACTGTGCGAGGAGGACTTACACTGTTTGTGTGTCTGAGGACTGTGTGATGAAGACTTACACTGAGTGTCTGAGCTGAGGATTGTGTGATGAAGACTTACACTGAGTGTCTGGGGACTGTGGGGGTTGTTTGTCATAATGGTGGGGCCCATCTTAACGAACACAAAGTAGGAGGCACAGATGATGAGGCTGGGCCAGGGAGATGACATCATAAACCATCCATCCACTCATGGATATGAAAGTAAACTGAATCAATGGTAGAAATGAACACATAATAACAGCAGCCATTGTTAATAAGTTATTTATGTTACATGTAATGTTCAATTAAAAATAAATACTGTGGAGTAATTTTTATCCCGAGTCAATGTTAATTCACAATCAGACATTGTTTTTGTGGGGACCTAAGTTGTGTGAAAAACTCATGTATACAGAAAATGTTATGAACCCATATTATGAAAGTTTATATTGTTCATGGGGATGCAAGTTCGTGGAGAAGTGAAACATAAAAAAAATCTTGAAACCCCATGGCCCATGAAAAATGATGTTTCCACACATACATGTAAGAGGAGTCAATCTAAAATTGGAGAAAAAATGTATCTACAGGAAATATATGTCATCAAGTCAGAAAAAAAGAAATTGTCGAGTCCAGTTTCATACCATTTATTAGTTCGTTGCATTTTTACTAAAAATGACTACAGAGGACTCTGTCTACTTGTACAATACACAGGAATCGTCAGGGGATGCTTACTCCTTCTAGGGAGGATGATTTAAATGTCCTGATACTGTAAACCAAATAAAGCTTTACACTTCTTTCTTTTTTAAATTTAAAAAAGTATTCTATAAATACTTTGTCAAAACATTGTAAGCCTAAACTCAATAATGACAACTAGTTGTAGAACATAAAAATTGCTCATTTTTCAATCATATTAGATATTTTTGTTTACTGATTTGAGGCTTTTTTTTCCTTGAACAAAAATCATTTTATAATGCATGTAGTTATTTTGAATGGCAAAGATAATATTAGTACTATAAAATGAAAGAAGATGTATTGGAATTTATCTATACTAGTTATAGCACTTGAAACTTTTCATTTCAAAATGGACTCCAAGTTCACAAACGTACGTTTTAATGAAAGGGATATATATCTCTAAAAATGCCTAAATTATCTGAATCGGTGCATTTTATTGAAAGTAAAATTAGTTATAACTCTTTACACAATTGTATGTGAACATCAGGCACAAATCAAAACAGTTAAGAGAGAATGTCACGAATCATCAAGCTTACTCAGTGTAATTGATGGAAACTATAAAATTTAAAAATTTTGGGATTTTTGCGTTAATAAACTTCTTTAACATTTTTATCATTTGTGGTAAAATTTTACAATGATTAGCCAAATCGTTTCCATGGTAACCATACATCAAAGTAAGTAAAATACACACTTTAGAAAAATCAGATTCAGTCAGTTTGTAGTACTTTTGCATAGTACAACAAATAAAAAATCAATAAATATTAATAAAACAGATTAAAACTATTTAAAAAAAAACTAGTTAAGGTCTTCCGTTTCCAACGGATACCTTCTACAGATTCTGATGATTAAGATTATTAAGGTCTTCAGTTCCAACGGAAGACCTTCTACTGATTCTGATGGTTAAGATTATTAAGGTCTTCCGTCTTCAGCGGAAGACCTTCTTGTTATTCTTAGGTTTCTTTTTCACTTTTATTAAGGTCTTTCGTCTTCAGCGGAAGACCTTCTTGTTATTCTTCGGTTTCTTTTTCACTTTTATTATTATTGTTTTTTTTCTTACCGATTTTGTGCACGCGATTTCTCGAAAACGGCTCGATGGATTTCCATGAAACTTTCAGGGCTTATGTAACATCATTTGAACCTTATGCGTTTTTTTCTGTTTTGATGACGTCACTTCCGGTCTGGAGATATTGCCGATTTAATGGTTTTCGAAGGGTCGGGTTGTCTCCAGATTTTCTCATATACGGCTTTAGTTAGAAACATGAAACTTTCAGGTATGGTAGACCTATCTCTGTAGATATGCATAACGCATTTCATTTTTACCGGAAGTGCCGCACGTCGGCGCTCGCTATGGCCCGAAAAAAGTCCTATCGGGAATTTTAAATTTTCTAACACTTTTTCTATAATATCTTTTTACCTGTAAATATTTTGTTAAAACATATAAATCAAAAGTTGTGTAGAATGTTACGATCTTTCAAAGGATACCAACAATAAGGGCCTGGCCCCTAACATTAGGGAGCTAGAGGGGCCAAAAGTGTTTTCATGATATCTCAAAAAGTATTGAGAATTTGTATAGCTTCATAGAAGCAAAGTTGTTCAAAATGATAAGTAGCAGCTAAGGAGACCATTAAAAGTCGTCAAAATGACGTCACTTCCGGTCACACCGAGAGTAATGGCAAATGGCTCATTTTTGCACATATGACCGTAGAAGTCTCTCGATCTCAATCTCATCTCCTTCAAATTTAGACGGAAGACTTATTTGTTGCTTTGCAACAAGCTCGTCTAGTTATTATTATTTTTTTCTTACCGATTTTGTGCAGGCGATTTCTCGAGAACGCCTCGATAGATTTTCACGAAACTTTCAGCAATGATGGCAAATTATCTGAACTTTATGCGTTTTTTTTTTTAATTTTGTCGTCGTCACTTCCGGTCGCGAGATATGGCCAATTTTCCATTTTTAAAATGGCATTTTGTCCGCGAGTGTTC